TCTGGGGGACAGAGACACACAAACAGTGAGGGGGGGTCTGTACTTGGGGCGGAGAAACCTGAAGTGGAGAGAGGGGTCTGCAAGTGGGAGAAGGGACGCCTGTCACCCGCCTGGAGAGACACATCTGTTGGGCATCAAGTGCCTGGCGATCTTAAAGGATCCTGAGATAGCCGGGCGTTGGTGGCGCACGCCTTTAATCCCAGCACTCGGGAGGTAGAGGCAGGCGGATTTCTGTGAGTTCGAGGCCAGCCTAGTCTACAAGAGCTAGTTCCAGGACAGCCTCCAAAGCCACAGAGAAACCCTGTCTCAAAAAAAAAAAAAAAAAAAGGATCCTGAGATAAGCCTTTAGTTGAGGAAGTCCATCATGGGAGGCCCCAGGAAGCAGATGAGGCTGGTTTCAAAGGTGAGCATTAGTCTCTTGACGGAGAGGGGCTTTAGTAGGGGCAGAAGGTGAAAACACTGCTCATTAGCTTGTGTGTGGGGGGAAGAGACTTATTGAAGCTGACAAATGATACAGAGAGGTCAGAGGGAGGCATTAACAATCCGCGTGCGATGGATGTGGCCCCACACGTCTAGAAGAAGAACGGGTACCAGCTTGTGGGAGAGAAGATGGGTGTTTGAGAACATTTGGGTCATGAGAGTCTGTGAGCTAAACATCTGGGAGACAGGAGGGCGGGTAGTGTTCAAAGAATCTTGATGACCTCCCCTGCCCTCTCCCTCTCTCCCCTTCTTTCCTACCCTGCTCCTCCTCTGGGGGAAGCTTCCAGGGAGAAGGTAGGAAGTATACTGTCAGGACGCTCTGCAGTCAATCCTGCCCTCCATAATCTTCATGGCGAGGAGGGAAGCCAACCCCACAGGCTGAGACCTCCCTGGGCGCAGTGAGGGAGCACCCCAGATGAGATGTGAAGACAGACAAATCACTGTGGTGGTCAGGTGCCTGAGGGTTTTCCTGCCCCTGCCCCGCCCCATCTCTGCTGTCTTCAAGCACCATTGCCACTTACCACTCACTGGGAAAGACTAAAGGGGTCAGGGACATTAGATCGGTGACATCAGGCTGATAAAACTAGGTTTAAGATACTGGTTAGAGAATGTTCACAGGAAGAAAAGCCCAATGCTGTCATTAAAGGGATATTCATTTGGCACATTTCAGGAGAAATGGCCTTTGGGCTGTGTTCCAGTGCCTTGAGTGACCTCCGAAAAACTCCACCCCTTACTGGTTATGGTAATTCCTTAAATTTACCCAACATGCAGGTCAGAGAGAAAGATGGACTCCCTGAGATCTAAGTGTCTAAAAGGCACAATACTTTCAAATTTTCACTGTCTGTCTTGGAGACTCTTCCAACATTTTCTAGATACAAAGATCATTGACAGGGATGGGGATTACAGCTCAGTGGCAGAAAACATTAGAAGTCAAAGCCCTAACACTACAACAACAGTCACCCATAACTTAGACCACAGACACTGAAGGCAACAAGCCTACTGCACCTCAGCACATGGTGCACCAGAGGAAAACTCTGTTGATACACAGAACCCTAACATCTGTTGATACATAGAACCCTAACCCAACAGAAGAGCTGCTTCAGACTGCAGCTGGGGCAAGCAGGGTAGACCTCAGGGGACAGGAAAGGGACATGGGGCTCCTTAGCTTAGGAACAACTATACACACACACACACACACACACACAGAGAGAGAGAGAGAGAGAGAGAGAGAGAGAGAGAGAGAGAGAGAGAGAGAGAGAGAGAGAGACTCTAGACTTAAGAAAGATAACGATCCTGGGAGGCAAAAGGGGGAAATGGGAAATTTTTACTGGAATGAGAAGTTCCACAAGGGTTCAAGACAGGGATTCCTTAGAGTCCCTGATCAAAACTTGTGTTTTGGTACCACCCCCCAAAATCTCCATCACCCCAGGAAGAAGAGGGCACCAGAAAAGAGGAATGATGATGAAGACTGGGCAAGAAAAGGAAAATAAGTAGGCACAGGCCGCGGGATGAGGGGTTGAGGGGCCGTAACAGGGCAGATCTAAAAGGAAAGGGAGCAGAGATGATGGTAAATGCCCAGGGAGAAGGGAAGAGACCAGAAGGTTTCAGCCAACCAACATGGGGCAGAGGAAAGAGGAAGACCTACCAGGGGCAGAAACACGGGGGTCCAGGGTCAGTAACAATGTAATAAGGTAGTTATCAGAGGAGAGGGAAAGAGAATAGAAGATAGAGACTAACACAGGGGAAGGACAGGAGGGGGACTCATATAAGAAACGGACACCATATGGGGGGAAAGATATAAGTGATGGACAGCAGAGGAAGGGAGGGGGGATGGAAATAAGAGGTGGGGTGGGGGAAGGGGTCAAAGTGATTAAGTGAAGAAGCAGATGAGACCCCAGGGGTTGCATTTCCCTTATCAAGAAGCCTACTGAGGCTCAGACACTGGCGGGATTTTAACCTAGCCCTGGTTACCACCACTTAATCTTACTGGCGTCTCCCCCGACCCAACCAAAAAAAAAAACACTTGGTCCTCCCCCCCCTCTGGCATCCCCTCCCCCAACCCTTTCTCCTCTCTTCCCTCCATCTGGACCCCCCCACTGCCACCCTCTTTCTCCATCTGGCCCCTTCCCTCCCTCCATCCTCCTCTCTTTTCCTAACCCCTACTATATTGAGCCCCTCACCAAATTCCCTCCCATCTCCCTGGTCTCTCCTTCCACTTCTCTGTTTTCATCCCCCCTTCTCCCCTCTCCTAAGACCGTGCCTCTGTTTCCTTGCTATTTTTCTCCTCACTCTGCTCCCAAACCCACATCATTTCTGCAGCTTTCCCCCAAACTCAATCCTCCCTTCTCATGCCTTCCTGACGCTCCTCCCCCCCATCATCTACCCCTAAGCCCCCTTCAAGGCCTGTGTCCCGGCCCCGCCGTCCCTTACGTACCCCCATGCCTCTAACCTCCCATCCCTCCTTTCCCGCTGTTCCCACCTCTGCCTTCTCAGCCCTCCCCTCTCCCTCCATTTCAGCCGCTCCCTCCCCTCGGTGGCCCCGACTCTCCCCCGCCCCCTGCCCCTCCCCCCCTCTTGCCCCCCCGTCTGGCCCTACCCCTACCCCTACCACCACCGTACCTCTGAAGGGGGCATAGGACATCGCGGGGATGCTCCCCCGATGGATGGAGGCTCGAGACCTGCTCATCAGGCCTGAGGGGGAGGGGGCGGGGGGGACGGGGGGAGAAAAAGAAGAGAGAAAAGAGGGGGAGAGAGAGGGGGAGAAGGAGGAGGTGGAGGAGGAGGAGGAGGAGAGAGGAGGAGAGAGGAGCGGAGAGGAGCAGAGAGGAGGAGAGAGGAGGAGGAGGAGGAGAATGAGAGCCAACGGCAGCAGCGGCAGCAGAGAGCGAAGGGGGGGCGGGGGAAGCGAGCTAGCGAGGAGAGAGCGGGAGGAGGAGGGAGAGACTCTGCAGCCCCCACCCCTACTCGGGGAGACCCGGAAAAAGAGAGCGCGAGAGACCCCTGACTCATCATCCACACCAGAGGCAGCAGTCCCGAGGAAGCTGACCCCAGACCCAGAGAAAGACACCTCACCTCACTGCACACTCAACAAATTAATCTCACAGACCCAAATAGGAGAGAGGCCCCGATCTCAAAAAAAGAGAAAAGCCCCCACCCCCAAGAAAGGAGTCATAGAATCTGAGAATCCAGTCTCAACAAGGTTCCCCAGACCCACATTAGCCTTAGATTTCAGACCCTGGATTGGTAGTTTGGGGGACCCAAAACGGAAACCTAGACTGAAAGAAAAAGATGAAACCAGTATTAGCATAAGAGCCCCAGGCCTGAATTAGATCTCAGGACCTAGCTAGACCCGGGAACCCCCAGATTCATATCTCAGAGAAAACAAATGCAAACTTGGGGGTAGGGGGCACATTCAGCTGACCCAAAGATGGAGAAAGAGGACCACAAAGGGATCTGAAATTCATTAAACCTGAGAGATCTTAGTGGGTGATCAATTCGCTGAAAACGACTCGAAAGATGGCTCAGACCCTACAAAAATCCCAAATAGTCGACCCCCTCCCTACGCGCGCGCACACACACACCTCTCTGAGACAGAGAGACCGCCCCCAACTCAAGAGGGACGTGAAAGAGCCCGAACTTCAGCCCGGGGAAATCCCAGCGGCCCACGCCAGGGACCCCAGACCCTGGGGACTGATGCAGGGGTAGGTAGGTAATATTTAGGCGGGCGGCAGAGCCTCCCCCACCCTCTGCCGCCTCCTCCCTTCTCTGACCTCTCAACTGGCCCCCCTCTCCATTTTTGGGTCACTGGATGTGTTTGGGCCCCAGGGAGGTTATGTAGGGCAGGTCCTGGTTCCTTGGGGGAGGTGACGGGGGAATGGATGAGGGTGGGGAGACCCTAGACCGAGGGGTGGGTCCCGTCCTGGGCACAGGAGTCAGCAGGGGGCGGGGGAGAAGGAACAGGGCCGTCCCTCGGAATCCTAGCCAGCACACTCATTTCTCCCGTCCTCTCATTGGCCGCTCTGTCCTAAGCCTCGGGTGGTCGGCACCTTCCGTCTCTCTAGCCCATTTACAGGTGTCACTCCTGTCTGAGCCGGCCTGGCCAGAGCCCCCTACCCGGGGACAGCTGGCTACTCGGCCCGGCGCTAGCGCGGGGGCGGGGCTTGGGCGGGGCTGGGGGCGGGGCGGCGCTGTCCCCGCCCAGGGCTGTCTGCTCGGACCCTGTGGCGGGCGCGGGGAGGAGGGGACTGTTACTAGGCACATTCCGGGGCTCAGGGCGCCCGACTCCCCGGCCGCGGGCTGACGCAGCGCGGGCGCCCGACGCCAGGGCTCGCGTCACGTGGCCCGCGAGGCCGGCCGGCGATTGGCCTGCGCCCGCCGCCCCCCTGAGGCGGCGCCGCGCGAGAGGACGAGGGCCGTCACGTGACGGCGGCCGCCGCAGCGGCGGCCCCGCCCCCTCCCGGCCCGCGGCGGGCGGAGGGCTTCACGGAAATGGGCGGGCCACTTCCGCGCACGTCCTCGGCTCTAGCTGCGGATTGGCCAGGGGGGCCCTCCGCCCCGCCCCTTCAGGAGGAAGGGCCGGGATTGGCCGAATCCCCCTGGGGAGGCCCGGCCGCTGCCGTCACGGGGCTGCCGCCCAGGTAGGAGGCGGCTGACTGCTCGGGGGCTCTGGGGTCCTTTCCTCCGTGAAGCGCGCGGGCGGCCGTAGACCATCTGTCTCCTCCCTTTCTCCCCCAGCTTGGGCTGCATGAGCTGGGGGCGGGCGCCCGCCGTCCTGCTCGGCGGAGGGGTGAGTCTGACCCCGCCCCTTCCGGTCTCCAAGTTTTTCCCCGGGCTGCAGCACCCCGGACCTCCGGAGGGGCGGGGAGGGAGGCGGGCGGACGAGGTGTTCCAAGTTTTAAGTTTCTGGGGCATTTCCCTTCCTGGTGCAGAAAAGCCAGGGCGGAGGGCTGGTGTCTGCCCCAGCCCAGGCGCCCCGGGGGTGCAGTTTCCTGGGGCAGTTGTGGGGACGCTGAGTCCGCCCCTCCCCTGCTCCCAGGCCACGCTGCTTTTGTCGTTTCTCTGGATGCCCGCGCTGCTGCCGGTGGCTTCCCGCCTTCGGTTGCTACCCCGAGCCTTGCTGTCAATGGCTTCTGGAAGCCCTCCGTCCCAGCCCTCCCCGGCCTCGGGCTCCGGCTACGTCCCAGGATCAGTTTCTGCAGCCTTTGTCACTTGTCCCAACGAGAAAGTCGCCAAGGAGATCGCCAGGTGGGGGGGCCTCGGCAGGGTGACCCAGAGGGGAGAGCGAGCTGGGGCTAGGGGCAGGGTGCTGCCCCGCGGGTGGCTCTGTCCCTGGGCCGCCCGCGCGGCTCCAGGCTGGGCGCACTCTGAACGGGCTCTCGATTGACCCTCAGGGCGGTGGTAGAGAAGCGCCTAGCAGCCTGCGTCAACCTCATCCCGCAGATCTCTTCCATGTGAGTCCTCAGCTAGACACTCACCTGGAGGGGCCGAGGGCTTTTTCGGGGGCTGGGGGGGTCTTTCTTTCCTACGACTTTGTTCCCTTCTTTCTCTGACCTCTTCAGTTATGAATGGAAGGGGAACATCGAGGAGGACAGTGAGGTCCTGATGGTGAGAACACTCCCCCTTCCGTGCCCGCCTCCTTGGCCGTCCCTAGCCCTCACCTGACGCGGCCTTGGCTGAGCTGTGTCTGTCTTTGCCCCTTAGATGATTAAAACCCAGAGCTCCCTGGTCCCTGCCCTGACAGAGTTCGTCCGGTAAGAGCTTTAAGATTTTCCTTTGTGCTGGGGATGAAGCCGGGCTCCAGCATTCCAGGCAAGCACTGGAAGAGCTCCCAGGTGGACACCGTGGGGTGGCCCTTGCTGGGGCGGTCCAGGACTGTTGTCTGAGGGGGCGTGCCTTTGGGTGACTGGGTGACCCCGCCCTGTCGCTCCTGCAGGTCTGTGCACCCTTACGAAGTTGCTGAAGTGATCGCGTTGCCTGTGGAGCAGGGGAACCCCCCATACCTGCATTGGGTGCGCCAGGTCACAGAGTCGGTTTCAGATTCGGGCACAGCACCCTCCTCTGCTTAATGCCCTGTGGTTTCCAGGTGACGATGACCGAGCCCCCAATAAACCGTCTTCTCTTCCCTCTGCCTTCCCGTGTAACAGCTGTGGTTGGTGAAGACCCTTGTGTTCCGTCCGTCCTTCAGAATGACCCGTGTCTGCTAGGCTTGTTTATTTCTTTTATTACAGTCATACAGAGCTGGAACCCTGGACCACCACCCCCATCTCTATACCCAGGGTTAAATAGCTTTAGAAAATATTTTAAAGGCTGTAACAAAATAACATCAAAGGAAATGAGAAGGATGAGGGGTCGGGCCATGAAGGGGCAGAGGAGAGGACCTCCCCACCCCCCTGGATTCCAGCCTGGGCAGTAGGGAGACGCGCTCCCATCTCTCCAGGTACATCCCAGCTGCAGGTGAGGTCAGAGGTCAGGGCGTGAAAGTGCCAGTGTGTGGGTGGGGAGGGGGAGCGGGCTGTCAGAAGATGCCTCCCCCCCCCCACTCAACTAGGTACTGCACAGAGCCGTCCGGCCGCACCCTCCGAGCAAGGACCCTGACGGGGTCCCCTCGGGACAGGTAGCCAACCCCACCTCGGGCTCCGCCCCCGGTCCCCGGAGACAGGCCACGGCCCAAGGGAGAAGGGAGCACTGAGTGTCTGGGAAGGCCTGGGGTGGGGGCTGGGACCGAGGAGGGGGAGGCAGCCATCGAGTGGGGAGAACTTCTAGGGATGTCTGTGGGGAAGCCAATGTGAAGTTCCAGGGGTGACCTGGAAGAGAGAAGACGCCTGAGCCCAGCCGGGCCGGTGTGGGTCCCCCGGGAGTCTGAAGTCGCCCGGGCTGCAGAGGACGGTCGGTCGGTCGGTCGGACAGCGGGAGGGAGGGAGCCGACGACTCACCTGTCTGGGGGTTCGCTGTCCCCAGAGGTCCCTGCAGTGCTGGCAGAAGGGTGGAAGGAGGCAAACATCCGGATGGGGCTGCGGTGGGGAAGGGCAGGTCAGGGCCTGAGGACGGAAGCCGGCTCCCACAGGGGGCAGGGCTCAAACACTACCTCTAGTGCACTGCACGCCCAGAATACTGGGCGACCAATCGCTTGGTGCGAGAAGTCTCTGGGAGGAGACGTGAGGAGGAAGAGGGAAGAGAATTGCAGGTGAGGATGTCTGGAGAACGGGAGGAACGGGGCTCATCCGGGTCAGGCACTGACCTGGGCAGACAGCGGGCATCTGTGGGCCGGAAGTTGTAGCCGCTGCTGCCCTGATAGCTCTGGTTAGGGCTGGGGGGGTGGTGGAGACACCGAGGCCTGTAAGAAACGGCGGGGGACTGTGAGGTGATCCTTGAGCCTTTCCCTGGCCCCGACAGTTTGCCCAGTGGGATTCCCTGCCCCGTACCTGCAGCGCCCTCTGCAGACGAGCCCGCTCCCTCTGCTCCCGGGACCCATGCCGACTGTGCGCTGCTGTGGGCGACCCCAGCTCCTCCTTCCCCTTCGGCCGCCTCAGGGGTTCTGGCTCCGACCGCCTTCGTTTCCCCAGGGGACGTGAGACCCCTCCCCCAGGGCCCTGCCCTGAAGGGAAGCTGTAAGAGGCCTCCTTATCCCCCCAGCCCCTCCCAGGCACCCCAAGACCCCCATTTCCAGACATGTACCCCCCAAACCGATCCTTGAGAGTTTCCCCATCCCCCCTGGACCAGTGACCTGGTGGGGTCTCCATCTCCAGTGAGAGGCTCCACGGGAGGCGGGGTCCGCGCATGGAGACCAAAAAGACATTTCCTCTTTTTTAATCTCCCTCCCTGAAATGAAACTGGGAGACAAGAAGAGAATCAGCAGAGTCCCTCAGCGGGACCCCGCGCCGCCCCAGACGCCCTTTTCTGGCTCACCGGTCCTTGTGGCTGTTAAGGGCAGCGAGGAGCTGGGAAGAGCGCTCTCCCTTCGGGGTGTCTGAAAGCTAGAGGACGAGGGCGAGCGGTCGGTCGGAGGGCACGCGTTCCTCTGTGCCCCACCTCAGCTCCCTCCCAAACGTTAGGACCCGCACCTCCCCCAGGAGCAGACTGTCCCAGTTCTCAGAGGCGAAGGGGAGGATCTCTCGGTCGAAATCGAAGTATTTCTTCTTGCAGCAGACACTGAGGTGGTAGAGGACCAGGTGGGCCACGTCCACCCTGCAGAGGGGAAGGCGGCGGCGGCATGAGAGGCAGGGTGAGGGTCAGGGTCAAACAGGGACGGAAGGCAGGGCGCTACCCTTCTCACCAGCGAAGCTGCAGCCTCCGGACCTTCTCGGGGCCGCCCCGGCACACACAGCATTCAAACTCATAGAACCTGGACATGGGGACGCAGAAGGCGCCCCTTCAGCTCTACAGGCGGTGGGGCTGTGCTGGGGGGCGCAGCGGGCGGTGGGGCTGTGCTGGGGGCGCGGCGGGCGGTGGGGCTGTGCTGGGGGCGCGGTGGGGCTGTGCTGGGGGGCGCGGTGGGGCTGTGCTGGGGGCGCGGCGGGCGGTGGGGCTGTGCTGGGGGCTGTGCTGGGGGGCGCGGCGGGCGGTGGGGCTGTGCTGGGGGCGCGGCGGGCGGTGGGGCTGTGCTGGGGGGCGCGGTGGGGCTGTGCTGGGGGCTGTGCTGGGGGGCGCGGCGGGCGGTGGGGCTGTGCTGGGGGGCGCGGTGGGGCTGTGCTGGGGGCTGTGCTGGGGGGCGCGGCGGGCGGTGGGGCTGTGCTGGGGGGCGCGGCGGGCGGTGGGGCTGTGCTGGCGGGCGCGGCGGGCGGTGGGGCTGTGCTGGCGGGCGGGCGGGCGCCCTGGGCTCACCTGTCTCCGTAGAGGAGGGGCTTGCTCAGACACTGGGTGCAGGCCTCATGGAACCACTGGAGGCAGCCCCGGCACTGCAGCATCTTCAGGTTCCACCTCAGGGGAAGACAGGCTTCTGGAGACCGCCCTGTACCCCCCCCCCCCGTCACCGCGGGGCTCCCCTCGGCCTGCTCCCTCCCCTTTGCTGCAGGCTCTGCACCCCGAGACTCACTCCCCGGGGCCTCCGCAGTAACAGTAGCTCTGCTGTCGGTTGCTCAAGTGCCCGGCATCCCAGTCCAGCCCCTTCAGTCCATACGGCAGGCAGAGCTTCATGCCCAGCATGGCCCGGGCATAGGGGCCCTTCTTCAGGGCGCCTCCCCTCTGCAGAGGAACGGATGGGACCTCAGCGAGCGAGGAGAGGAGAGGTCCCGGGGGGCTCCCGTAGGAAGGGGCAGGGGGCCTTTACCTTGGTGGCGATCGCAAACACACACTGGCGGCAGACCCACGATGTGCCCTCTGCCTCTCCAGGGGCCGGGGCCCTGGGAACGTGACAGTCCTGGTGATACGCTGAATAGGGACAATGTTGAGAGACCACTGTGTGCACGCCTGCATGCACTTGGCGCCTGCGCACGGCAGCCTTCCCTTGTGCGCTTATCCTGACCGCGGCCCTTAACGGGTGTGTGTGCATTATCCTGACTTTGCAAGGGAGCAAACGGGCTTCCGGAAGTTGACAGCCTCGCCCAAGAAAGCATGGTTAGAAAAGGATGTATGGGGGGGAGGCTGGAGAGAAGGCTCAGAGGTTAAGAGCACTGGCTGCTCTTCCAGAGGACCTGAGTTCAATTCCCAGCAACCACATGGTGGCTCACAACCATCTGTGATGAGATCTGGCGCCCTCTTCTGGCCTGCAGGCAGAACACTATATATAATAAATCTTTTTTTTTTTAAAGATGTATGTAAGCTACCCTCAACCTTGCATGGCTTATGCCACCTTCATCCTACCGCTCCCTCTCCCTGTACTGAGATGAGGTGACAGGGTGAAGACTGGCCAGGACAGGAGACACAAGACCCATGCCAGGAACCTACTGGCAATCCCGAAGACCCAGAACAAATTGTACCATCCAGGTACCCTGCCCTCTCCTCTCACCGTGCCGACACTTCTCACAGCTGACCAGCCGGTTCCCAGGCACCACCGTCTCAGAGCGACAGACACAGCAGAGGAGCTCCTCCCCGGGGAGGGCAGCTGTGAGGGACAAAGCGTCAGGAGACTCGCTCCAAGCCAGGGTCCCCCACCACCCCCTCCAGTTATGAAGGGTCTCACCGGGGCTGATGTCCTTCCATAGAACCAGAAACTGGGAGTCATCCTCAAACTGGACCAGACACACCTCCCGAGCACTGTCCACCTGGAGTGGGCGAGCCAGCGTTGTTAAGTGGGAGCAGGGATCAGAAGGCCATCGATGGAGAGGCTCCGGAGTTGGCGCTTACCTTTTTGATGGTGCCTAGATACAGCAGCCCGTCGGTCCATCTAGCCAGCACGTCCTGACCCTCCCAAAGTCGGGGTCTGGGGCCTGAGGTGGGGGCAGGGGAAGCTGGATCCCAAAGAGAGGGCGCACCCAGGCGGCTCAACCGGGGGAGCTGCGCCATCGCATCCTGGGAGGGGCTGGCCAGAAACAGGGTGGCAGAGTTTATGAACGTTAGAGAGAGCTTGACTGCCCTGTCTGCTTTTTTCTGTCACGGATGAGGGGCCAAGCAGACTCTCAGTCCTTTAGACGCCTCGGGACGTGGGTCACCGTGGTCAGCTTCTCGACTCCACGCCTTTTCCTGCTGCCTCCCCAGCCTGGTTCTCTAGCATCCCGGGGACCTCAGGGGAAAAGATGCTTGCAGAACCAAGGCCACCACTCAGTTTCGCCTTCCCAGCTGTTTAGAGGTATCCTAACTGGGACGCTCTGTTGCCCAGAGATATTTTGGGAGCTTTTCTGGAGATGTTTCCCCGAGTAGAGACAGCCGCCTCCCCAGACCTGTGAGTCTCATTTAGAACCGCTGTCCTGGGGCCAGGTTATGTTAGGTCACCCTCAAATTTGAGGCTGCTTACCCCGGGATTAGATAACTTCCCCGAGTGCCCCAGGAGGGGGGCGTGTCCCCGTCCAGGTCTCTGCTCCCCTACACCGCCAGTCTGAGGAGGGACTTGAGTCGTCCCTGCCCAGATCCTAAGCCGGTACCAAGAGGCTCTCCTGCCCCTTCCTGCGCTTCGACCCCCGGCTCCCTGCCCCCGCTCAGGGGCTCCCTGCCCCCGCTCAGGGCCTCCCGCCTTCTTCTTACCGGTGACAGCTGGGGCAGCTGGGAGCCAGGTAGGGGCAGACGCAAGAGACCTGCGCGAGCCCACACTGCGGGAAGAGCGCGTGTGGGCGCCGAGGGGCGTGCAGGAGGAGGCCGGGGGGTCCCCGGGCCCAGCCCCTCCGTCCTGGCGGCTCTGGGGCGTATGACGCAGCAGCCAAAGCAGCGGCAGCGGCGGGAGGAGTCGGCCGAGGGAGGGAGGAGAGTAGTGGGTGGGGAGCACCGGAGGGAGGAGAAGCCGGAGGGGCGGACAGGCAGCAGCTCCCTCACCTCCGGCAGGCCCTGAGGGCACTGCGCGGCTGGGGGCGCGGCCGGCCGGGGAGGACGAGACCCTGGCAGCCCCTGTTTCGGACGGGAGGCTCGCTCCAAGAGCAGCAGGAAATCACCCTCTTGGCAGTCAGCCTGCAGGTCAGGGCCGAGCCCCGCCCCATGCCACATCCGTTAGCTGCCCCGCCCCCGTGGCCGCTCCAAGCTCCGCCTCCGCACACGGCACCGCCCTCCCCCATTCACACTTCCTGTCGCCCCGCCCTCCTGCGCACGCGCGGCCCCGCCTGGGCGCTGCACCTGGGCGGACAGCCACACCTCCCGCCGCGAGAGCCCCGCGGTGGCTTCGCTCCTCCCGGGGCGAGTGCCCAGGCGGTGACGTGTCCACGGGCAGCCAATGGGCAGCGGGCGGCAGGGGCCGGTAGTTCGAACTGGTGACGGGCAGGCAAAGGGAGCGTGTGGAGGGCACTGGCTCTATCACCAGACCCGGCAGTCCTAAGAAACCCGCGACCCTGGGCCCGTGAGCAGCTATGGCACAACACCCCGCGCTGAAGGATAAGAGGGGTGACAGGACAGCCAGGAGAGAGCCGAACAGAGAAAGGCCTCACTGTGCAAACCACGCGGCAGAACGGACACTTCTATGTGCTTACACCTATTTGTTTGCAACACCTACCAGGATTAATACGACCTTTATTTAAGAGCGGAACAAGGGCTGGGAGACGGCTCAGAGCACTGGCTGCCTTCGCAGAGGACCCGGGATCTGTTCCCAGAACCCACTGCAGCTCACAGCCACCCATCCCACCGGCTCCAGGGGACCGGAAGCCCTCTTCTAATTCAACAAGCACCAGACATTACACATGGTGCACATGAATACACACCCCGGCAAAACAATCATGCGTAATGAAAAAATCTAAGTCTACAACAAAATTTCTTTATTTGATAGTTGGGTACAAATGATGTCCAGCCAATAAAAGCGCATCTCTCAACCCCCACCCCACCCAGTACATACACATAAACACAGAGACAAGCACACTCGAGTGCGGAGCCAGGCTGGGGCTCCGTCTTCATTTCTTATTAGCCTGAGCAGTACCGATGACACACTGGTTCACCTGTGGACCAACAAGGTTTCACAAGGTCAGCGTCTGCAGGGAAACCAGACAGTCTGTCCATCTACCCCAGCCCCATGCTGAAAGGAGGCTCGGCCTGGCCCCTAAGGACAGTTGTCTCTTATACCCACTAGGCCTGGAGGAGGTCAGAGCCTAGAGATGAAGCCCTACCTATCGTGACGGCTAGTTTTTATGTCAACTCAAGACACAGAATGGCTCTCATTTGAAACGAGGGACACTCAACTGAGAAATGTCCCATCAGAGTGGCTTGTGGGCTTTTTCTTAACTAGTGACTGATGGGTGGGTGTGTCCTGAGGTATATAAGAAAGCAGGCTTGCCAAGTGGTGATGACAGTACACGCCTTTAATCCCAGGCAGATCTCTGTGAGTTCAAGGCCAGCCTGGTCTACAGAATGAGCTACAGGACAGGTTCCAACACTACAGAGAAACCCTTGTCTCTCAAAACCAAAAAAGAAACAGAAAAGAAAAGAAAATCACTGGGCCTGGGGGTAGTGGTCACAGCTCTAGTCTTAACCCTTGACAGGCAAACAGGAAGACGAGTTTAGGGCGCCTGGCTCTGTCTGAACTGAAGACTGAGAGGGTGGTGGTGGTGGGACACTTGCCTAGCATGTATTAGGCTCTGGGTTACATCTCTAACACCACCACAAGAAGTTAAGCAAACACATAACAAAGGCAGATGGTGGAGCTTCCGGATGGAACAGAAGTACGCCACTGTCCTGTCTGTTAACTAGGCCAAGAATCTGAACTAGAATTACAATCTAATGACTACCACACACCAAACTCTGAGGGAAGCGTGAGCAACCGCCCGCGTCTGATTATGACGCCTTAATGGGACAATACATTCTACTTCAGATCACCACCTAAGGAGGAGAGGCACCCATTTTACACTGTAGTGAACAAGTGTTTCCACCAGACAGAGCCCCCCCATAAGTGAGATGGCTGGCCGGCTAGGGTCCTAATCTGAACAGACCTGCTGAGTCAAAGGCTTTTCTGAGACAGCCAGGAGAAACTCAGGCGGACGTTAAACGCAGGCTGGGTGGCACACGCTACAATCCCAGCACTCGGGAGGTGGGAGCAGAAGACCGAGGCCAGCCTTAGCTACGGAGGAAGCTCAGCACCAGTGTTACTGACATGAAATGCTGACGTAACACCCTCTTGTCCTACCTTCATGTGTAAGATGTTACTCTGGGGACAGCAAAACAGCTCAGCTAGCAAAGGTGCTTGCCACCAAATCTGATGACGGGACAACTGAAGTTTGATCTCTAGGGTCCACTTGGAAGGACAGAACCAAATCCTACAAGTGTCCCTCTGCCCCCCCAGTCATATTCTTAGTTTTAAGGTGACTTTATGTGTGGAGTGCTTTGCCCCTGAAACTGCAGTTAGGGATGGCTGTGAGCCAGCACTGAGCGCTGAGACGGGACGCGCGTCCTCTGCAAGGACAGCAAGCGTCCATAAGCACTGAGCCATCTATGTGGCTGAGCCAGCTGTCCAACCTGTAAATCACTTTAAAGCTGCCTTGTTTGTTTGTTTGGTTTTTCAGTCTGGCTTTCTCAGTGTAGCCCTGGCTATCCTGGAACTCACTCTGTAAACCAGGCTAGCCCAAACCCAGAGATCACCTGCCTCTGCCTCCGGAGTACTAGGACAAAAGGTGTGCACCGTCACACGTGGCAAAACCTGCTTCATCATCTTTGAGAAATCAGGCTGGCCACACAGCTCAGAGGTCATGCTTACGGTGACAAGGCCGGGGTTCAAGAAGCAACACCAAAATGAGGACAGGAGACAGACAGGCCACGTCACTGACAGAAGAAGCTACGTCACAGAGAGCAATGTGCAGGTGCCGCCAGAGCAGACCCAGTCATGATCAGATCCCAAACCAAGTCAGAACTCAAAGGAAACGGGGAAGCCAGGGGAACAGTTACCCATCGAGATACACAGTAAGGAGCCTGAGGCCTGCTCATCCCTAGGAGGGTGAGAGCATGGGCCCTGTCTAGCTCTATACATCTTTATTCTGGCATCCCTTCAGAGGAGCAATCCTCTACAGGTGTAATGGGAAAACACACAAAACAAGCACAAGATCAGTGTGGCCTCGTTGTAGTCAGAGAAAGGTGGAGACAGGCCACTGTCCAGCACTGAAGCTGGTGAATGAGCTGTGGTGTCCAGCACTGAAGCTGGTGAATGAGCTGTGGTGGGCCCTCCACAGACCTAAAAATAGCGTGGCCACTCCAGTGCCGGGGGGGAACCCAGGGGCAAAGTAAACAGGGACAAACATGCACACACAGGACAGGAATTGGGACACGGACACAGCTTGTTCTTGCAATACAGTCCTGACTATGTGGTCGTGTCTCCTAAAAATACCAATTCCAAAGCCAGAGTTAAAAATGGAATCAGTGCGTAGTACCCAAGATGCCTAGCAAGTTCCAATCCTTTTTGGTAGATGTTCCACAGCCTAGAAAACAGGAGTCATGATGGAGACGCCTAGACAGCCAGGAGGCCTGACAGTACGGGCAGGTGTGCGGCTGGAATGACAAGGCCCCCAGTCTCATAAACTGAACACTCGGTCCCCAGTTGGTGGAACTGCCTGGGGAGGATCAGGAGGTGTGGCCTTGTCAGAAGTATACTGGGGGGTGGGGGGCTTTGAGAGTTCAAAAGATCACGTCATTCCCAGTCTCTCTTTCCTCGATGTGAGCTCAGCTACTGATCCAGCCCCATGCTGCCACACTCCACTGCCACAAAGGTCCTGGACGCTAACCCTCTAAAGCCGTAAGCTACCAACAAACCCTGTAGGTTCCTTGACAGTGACTTGTCACAAGGGTAGAGAACTATAACTATACAGCAGAGTAGCGGTCTGTACCTTGGAAGCAAAGCGTAGGGAATTGAGTGACTCGGAGGCATTCTCTTCCAGAGGAGAGATGTTCACAAACATGAGCCTGCGGGAGAAGGCCACGCCAGCGTCAGTGTCGCTCAGGCTGAGCACACCCAGCTATGACTGCAGTCCCTCCAGCCCCTCTCCCAGCCCCTCCCACTCACATCTTGGCACTGCCGCCCAGCGAGTTCTGCAGCAGGTAGGTGAGCTTGCTGTTCCGGTAAGGCACGTGGGACTCCTGAAGGAGAAGAGCACAGGCAGTCAGGACAGGGCAGAGTTCTCCACAGCCCATGCCAGCTGCCCCCGCCTTCCCTGCCCATGCACCATTCCTACCTTATTGCTCAGGGCCATTATGACCAGTCCCAGGGTAGACAGACTGCTGTTAATGGACTGTGTTTCCCGAAGACGATCACGTTCCCCGGGGCCTAAGGTTAAGCCCGGGTCTAGCCGCTCACTCCCAGCCAGGTCTACAAGGTTAAGGGGAGCAACACACTGCAGGCCCCGAGCAGCATGCTCTCCAGAAATCTGCAGCTGGAACACACTGTGACTTCGAGACGACCTCTCATTCTGGGCAGTGCGGGCCACAGCCCGATTCTGGTGGGCCAAATGCAGCAGAGCCTCTACCTGGGGATGGGATCAGCAAGGGAGAGGCAGTCAGGGGCTAGGACATGCTGGAATATGGCAATGAGAATCCGCCCCCGCCTTCCTGGAGCGAGGGCACAGACCAGCAGAACCAGTGTGCATACACATTTAGAGAAAGGCCTGTCTTATCACCCAAGTCTAGAATCTCAATTACTTGGGAGGCTGAAGCAGAAGCCAGAGTTCAAGAACTCCTTGAAACACAGGGGGAGTTCTGAGAAACTTGGGGAGGCCACATCTGGAAATAAAAACAGACCAGGTGTGGTGGTTTAGATCTATAATCCCCAGCACTCAGGAGGCTGAGACAGGAGGACTGCCTTGAGTTCAAAGCCAGCCTGGGCTACAGTACAAGATTATCAAAGGGCAAGGCCCATGCCTTTAATCCCAGCACTCAGGAGGCAAAGGCAGGCTGATCTCTGGGAGTTTGAGACCAGCCTGGTCTACAGAGTTCCAGGACAGCCAGGGCTACACAGAGAAACATGTTCTCAAAAATAAAACAACAAGCCGGGCGTTGGTGGCGCACGCCTTTAATCCCAACACTTGGGAGGCTGAGGCAGGCGGATCTCTGTGAGTTCGAGGCCAGCCTGGTCTACAGAGTGAGTTCCAGGACAGCCTCCAAAACAATACAGAGAAACCCTGTCTCAAAAACAAAACAACAAAAAGGTTTCTGAAAAGGATTAAAAGTGCAACCCAAGCACCCTCACTGTCTGAAGACCTCAAGAGAAGGAAGGGGCAATGGGGACAGTCCCTTAGCGTCCTGAGGGGGGACAGTCAGGGGTCATCACGGCTAAGGTGAACTCAGCAACAAAGAGCAGGAAATGAGGCCAGAGATGCACCTGGAAGGAGTCTAGTGCCCATCACCTCCTCAGATGCCTCAGTCTCTACTCCTTGGCCCTCTGAAAGTAAACCTACCGTGCAGCCTACCAGCTAAGTCCAGTGAAACCCACCCCAGAGCCCACGGTCACCCTCCTCCCCTCACCTCTCTCTCACAGGAGACAGGAACATAGCGTGCATTGGTGACAGTAAGCTCCTCACTGCCTGGTCCCGCCCGACGGATCTCACACTCGCCCCCTTGCCCTTTCCGGGTCCCGGTGGCCAGCAGGTCTCGGACGGTCTCATTGTAGATCTCTACGTAACTGGCCACAAAACTGTATGTCCAGCCCTGGCCACCCATCTCCTGGGCCACTGAGAATAGATGCCGCATGGCCCGGGGGATCAGCCCCTCCAACTGGGGGTCTCCCCCAGGCCCACCCTCCATGGTGAAGGTCTTGCCACTGCCGGTCTGTCCATAGGCAAAAATGCACACAGGGTAGCCGTCCAGCGCTGACTGGACAAGCATGGAGATCTCCTCAAACACTTCCTCCTGTCTGCTTCCTGGTGGGAACACGCGGTCAAAGGAGAAATCATGGCGGGTGGTGGGTGCAGGTGCCCCGGTCAGGGTGGCGCGCCGATCATCAGACCGTGAAAGGCTAAGGCGGGTTGGGGGATCAGACGGTCCAGCAGGGCCATGGGGGAATAAGAGGAAGCCGGGGGATGGAGCAGGCTCCCCTGTGAGGACAGGGCGCACCCGGCAGAATACCCGGATGTTGCCCTTAAGTTCCTGCAACTGGTTGTGGAGTCGACGGCGCTCCATCTCTAGCCCATGGAGCCGGTCACCTTGCTCCGCCAGTAAGGTCACCTGGGCTTCCGTCTTCTGCCGCAGACAGGCCACCTCCGCTTCACTGGTTGACAGCGCGGCTTCTGAGGCCTGTAACCTCGTCTGCCCAGAGCAGAGGAACAGAAGGCGGGGTGCAAGCAGAAATTAGAGCACGGATTGTGCCAGAATGGGGACGGCCTCTAGTCACGTGACTTCACAGCCCACTAAAGAGGCGAGAAAGCCGGGCAATGGTGACGCACGCCTTTAGCCCCAGCACTCAGGAGGCAGGCAGATCTGAGTTCCCAGCCAGCCTGGTCTACAGAGCTGGTTCTAGCACAGCCAGGGTTACAAAGAAAAACCGTGTCTCGAAAAACCATCAAAGAAAGCAGTAAGAAAGCGGGTGTGGGGCCCTGGGACTGTGACGATTGCTCAGTGAATGAAGAACGGCATCTGACGTGAAAGCAGGAGGCCCTCAGTTAAAATTCCCATCACCACGTACAGCTGGGCTGCCTACATGCCCTGTAACCCAGTGCTGGGGAGCAGGAGGTGTGGGACCCTGCTGGCTAGCCCAGCCAAGACAGTGAGGTTTAGGATCAGTGACCACCCCCACCCCCCAACCCCCGCCCCTGCTGCCAAAACAGAGGGGGAAGGGAGGGAGGGAAGGAAGAAAGGAGAGAAGGAGAGGGACGATGACTCTAGGGTCTGGAGCGATGGCTCAGAGCTTAGGAACAGCACTGGCTGCTCTTCCAGAGGTCCTGAGTTCAATTCCCAGCTCCCACATGGTGGCTCACAACCATCTGTGCTAAGATCTGGTGCCCTCTTCTGGCCTGCAGGGAGGGATATATGCAGACAGAACATTCCATGCATAATAAATAAATCTTTAAAGAAAAGAAGGAACTCTGGCACCAGGACACTATGCAGAGTGACAGGACACTGGAGTGGGCCAAGGGAAGGGGACACACACACAGTCAACAGAGACGGCGGTGCCAGCCCACAGACTCGGGAAGAGGGAGAAATGTGGGAGGCACGAGCAGAGGCAGTAAGAGGGCAAAAGCCGGCACCGTTGGGAATTGCCAGGAGGCGGGAGGCGGGGTGCACACAGACACCCTGCCTGCTGGAGATGTGAGGCCTTCTGAGTCTTCCGGGAGCCTGAGGAGGGGCAGCGCCGTGAGAGCCTGGCCTTACCTCTCGCTCTTCCAGTCGGGCGGCCAGTGTCTTACGCTCCTCCTGCAACCCCAGCTGCTCTCTCTGGAGCTCCTGAATCAGGCTTTCCTTGGTGCCCAGACATCCCTCCAACTCCAAGACACGGGCGTGCAGCGTCTGCAGTTCCTGCTGGCCCTGCTGTGCTTGGGTCCGCACACTGGCCAGCTCCCCTTCCAGGGTGTTCCGCTCTGTGCCCAGGGTCGCAGCCTGCTCCTGGGCTGCTTTAAGCTGCTCCTGCAGCCCTTGGTTCTCCTGGTCCAGTTTCTGAGTCCTCTCCCGATAGCGTTTCAGCTCCTCAGTGAGGTCACACAACTGACCCTTTAAGTCCCAGGCGGGACGTTTGCCAGGCCTCTTCCCTACCACCACGGGGGCAGTTGACGCTGACGTGGGCACAGAGGAGGCACAGGTCAGGACCTACCCTCTGCCTTCGGGCCTCCATACCTCGTGCAGCAGATGTTTTCTGGACGCTCACCACCTCCCTTTCCACCCCAGGCTCTCACCCAAAGATTGTATGTCACCTACTGACAGGCTTCTGGGCCGGAGCGGAAGGAGCCAGCTTCTGGTTCTTCAGCACTAGAGGGTCAGAGGGACACAGAGTTATGGGTGGACACGGTAGGACACACCTGCCACCCTCACTTGGAGAATTGCCAGTTCAAGGCCAACCTGAGCTCTGGAGATGAACAAAACAGCACAAGGGCTGAGCAGCTCAGAGCACTGACTGCTCTCAGGGGCCCTGGGCTGGGTCCCCATCGCCCTCATCAGACTCAGAACCACCGTGACTCTGGTGCCAGCGGAGCCAATGCCCCCCCCCCCACACACATATAGGCTGCGCAGGCAGATGACACAGTCAATGGAAACAGTAAGTCTTAGGAACAAACAAACGCAAGGGTTGTGGACTACCTAACTTAGTAGCAGAGCACTCAGCTAGCGTTGGGACTCAGGACTGAACCCCCTAGCGCCCCCCTACCGAAAAGCCTGTCAGACCAGATGGCGTCTCTGTCACCATTCTCCCTCCAATGGACCCAGATCCCTTCAGGCCAGCGTGCACTATTACCTGAGCCCACGGTGGCACACCCACGAGGTCCTGTCTTCTTCGGGCCTTTCTGAGCTGTCCACGCATGGAAGAGAGGAAAAGGTACAACACCCACTCTCAGGCAGCAGCTCTGACACGTATCAAAGGGTTAGAAAAGACAACACTCCTCGTCGTTCACGTCTCTGGCCAGCTCCTAACGGCGCTTCAGGACCAGAGACAACTCCTATGATGTGAGGGGTAGAGCCATGTGCAGCTCACTGCTCCTGCCCATCTCCTCAGGCTCCCCGAGTCCACACAGCACCCCAGGAGGGACAGACTCCAAGAGAAGCAGAGGAGGAAAGGATTTCACCTAACAGCCTTTGTGTCCTGGGAATTCTGAGCCAAGTAAAAAGTTATTGACTCAAAACTGATAAACCCTGAAGGAAAAAGAGGAGAGCGCGTCTCCCCGCCTTGGTGCAGTCCGCCCCCAGGACCCACCTGCAGTGGGGGCCTGCGTCTGCGACACCGTGCTGAGACATGGTCCTTTGGGGCGGGATGTGTCAACCTTGGTCACTGTACCCAGGCCTCGTGTCCGTTTCTGGGAGAGACAAGGATGGGGCGCCATGGTCTGTCCCTGTCCCTGTCCCCCTCCCCGCTCTGCAAGCACATCTTACCCTTGCAGGCTCTAAGGCATCCTCCATCTGGTCAGGGCCCCTCTTGAGTCTGCTGCCTGAGAGGGGCAGTCGGGAGGAGGCCTTGACCACGGCCGCCTTCAGCTCACAGTTCCTCTTCACTTCCAACAAAGGCGGCCTCTGTCAGAAAAAGAGCCACTTACAACAACACCGAGCCTGGCGGTGCACCGCACGCCTTTCATCCCAGCACTCGGGAGGCAGAGGCAGGTGGCTCTCTGAGTTCGAGGCCAGCCTGGTCTATGAGTTCCAGGACAGCCAACTCTAGGCAGAGAAACTATCTCGAAAAACAGAACTACAAAAGCCCACAAAATCCCCTTTAGTGTCGCTCCCCTGACCTTAATTTTCAGCAAGCATTGAATGAGAATCGTTTGTGCCAAAAGTGGGCACTGTGTGTCAGGTAAACAGCACACACCGATGGAGAGAGAGCAACAGAGGAGTGGGCGCGACCTCTAGGGAAAAGGTGGAGGGAGGCTGTACTTCAGCGGTCTTTAGGGCTGAACTCAAGCAAACAGAAACAGACATTCCTGAAGACAAAATTCTAATACACAGTACAGCTACGAAGCCAACAGCCTACAGGCTACAGCTAGGACCACACAGGAGGGGCTGTTTACGGAGTCATTTTCATGCTTTTTCTGGGCTCCATCATTAACTAACTCTGCACGTGGGGGACGCAGAAGCACCAAGCGGAGGGAGGCCAAGAGGAGGCGGCCGGGCCCTCAGACTGGTGATGCCACCCACAGCAGGGTCCTCCCCATCAACACAAATCAAGACAATCCCCAGGTACAGTCCCTCCCCTCAAGTGACTCCATTTGTGTCAAGTTCACAATCACAACTGAGCAGTGAGGAAACCACGGCGCCAGCTCTTTCTCTTCCAACACACATCCTGGGGATCCAATCTGCTGTCACGCTTGGCAGCAAGTGCCCCATGCCTCACGGGCCCTCTCAGGTACAGCCTTGACGAGTCGCTTTCATGAGCACGGCTCGAGGGCAAGCAAGGACAAGCAGGGACAAAAAGGGCACAGGCAGTAACAGCAGTGTCCTATGCAGACCAACACCCGGGACAGCAGGAGGGGAGGAGAATGCAGACAGGGAAGAGACTGCTGGCTGGTGCTGTGGTAACAAGTCTGGACACTCTGAGGGTTTGAGTCAGGAGAACATGACTACATTTGGTTTTTTGTTGTTGTTTTTTCGAGACAGGGTTTCTCTGTAGCTTTGGAGGCTGTCCTGGAACTCACTCTGTAGACCAGGCTGACCTGGAACTCACAGAGATCCGCCTGCCTCTGCCTCCTCCCGAGTGCTGGGATTAATGGCATACACCACTAACGCACTGCTCTACATTTGTTTTGAAGAACTGAACCGTGAGCCACACTTGGCAGCACATGCTAATCCTAGCACTCAGGTGACCTAACAATAGGATCACCATTTGAGGCTGGCCTGGCTGGACTATAAGCAATATCTTGTGAGAGGAACAAGAAAAGAGCCGAGCGTTGGTGGTGGCCTCTAAAACAATACAGAGAAACCCTGTCTCAAAAACAAAACAAACAAACAAACAAACAAAAAAGAAAAAAGAAAGGAAGGAAGAAAGAACTGTGAGCATTTGAAATGAACACAGGTGGAGTGATGTCATACACAGAGACTACATCATTGCTCTGCAGCAGGCACGGCACTTGGTCAAGTGTGACGAACACCAAGTCCTTACCTTCTCAACACTTATTTTCCAGGGTAACTGCCAAACTGAAGCTCTATAAACCAACTAAAGCATAGGAAACGACCTATTTTCTCCAGACTATAAACACCTCTTCCAATGTTGAGTGCCTGGGGCAGAGTCTAACACACCTGATCTAGTGACTAAGAAAGGATGCATTTGGACACCAGGGCTGCACTCTCTTGCAGCTCAGTGAGAACTCTTGCGGGGCCTGAGCAGCACACCCAGGTCCATCTGGCAGAAGCAGGCAAGCTTAGCCAAGATGGTGGTGGGCTTCCAGTGCTGGTGTAATCAGGGACTGGCGAGTGGGTGTGGTGGGCAGGAGCTGAGGAAGTCGAAGCTGACCCCAGGGCGCCTACTACAGCTCCATTCCCTTCACAGGAGAAAGGTCTCATTTGGTTCAGGCTTTTTGTTTGTTTGTTTGGTTGGGTTTTTTTTTTTTGGTTTTTACGAGACAGGGTTTCTCTGTGTTGTTTCAGAGACTATCGGTCCAGCCCGGCCTCGAACTCACAGAGATCCGCCTGCCTCTGCCTCCCGAGTGCTGGGATTAAAGGCGTGCTTTTATAAACTATTGCTCTGAGAGGGGCTAGGTGCTGAGCAGAACCCTGAAGGCTACTGGGGGAACTGAGTATATGTATTAGCCAGCCCACTGGCCAGAATCTGTGGTCCGCCCCACACCCAAGTTGCTTGTAAATAGGCTGAGCCTGCGGAGTCAACCAGATGGACAAGTGTATCCAGCAACCCAGCCCTCAGCCTGGACGCCACACCGTCTGTGCCCTCTGAGCACCTGTACTTCTGGACAGATCTGCTGATTCCAACACATGGAGGAAGAATGGGTGAAACTGTGATGGAGGCTGAGAGGAGCCCTGACACTCAAGCACTGGCTGAGGGCGGGGAACCTCCAGTAAACTCGTCCAGCAGTGACTTAACCCAGGAGAAAAACGCATTTAATGACACTCACAGGCTCATCCAGATGGAGTCCTGCAAGAACGGGTTGTGATAAGACCACAATCTGAACCTTCTCACACCTGCACGTGTTCCGGAGCATAGTGAGCTAAGCGGGTTTGGTCCAGCTTCAGAAGAACAATCTTTGTTAGGCATGATGGCAGCTGTCTGGAAGGGTGAGACAGACTTCAAGCTCAAGGCTGGCCTAGTCAACTCGCTTAGCATGGCTGCGCTTAACCAAAATTAGACAAACGGTACAGCCTGAGCAGATCACACAGCAGAAGGGGCTCAGCTCCAGACAAAATAATAAAGAGGCTGGCAAGGTGGCTCAGGAGGTGCCTAAATTCTACGCCCAGAACTCCCCACTCCAGAAAGTTGTCCTCTGACCTCTGCAAGCATACCACAGCACGCGCGCACACACAGTGCAAACAAATGGCTTTGCTCACATAAGGCTTACAAGCATGGACAGGAGCCATTTGGGGTTTTTGATTTTACAAGACAGGGTTTCTCTATGTGGCTTTGGAGGTTGTCCTGGAACTCTAATTTGTGGATCATGCTGGTCTTAAACTCGCAGAGATCCACCTGCCTCTGCCTCCCAAGTGTTGGGATTAAAAGCATGCACCACCAACCTCAGAATCCACTATTTCTAGTCTCCTCAGCTACTGAGCACTTTAAATTTTGTACTCTTCAAGGCTAGCCTGGTCTACAGAGCAAGTTCAGGACAGCCAGGACACAGAAACCCTGTCTCAACCCCCCCCACCCCCCCCACCCTCCCCACCCCCGCAATAAATGAAAATTGTGCTCAGCTTACTTTTTGTGCAGAGGTGTTAAAAGATGCTGTCCTGGTCAGCAATCTTCAGCTACATAAAATCCCAGGTCAGCCTCAGCTACATGGCCTGGGCTGGGGTGGATATCCTCATAACTTGGAAAGTAACTACAGTAGGCTGTTTTGGTTGGATCTCTTCCCCAGTTCCTTAACTGCCACACACTTTCTCATGTTTGAATAGTATCTAGAGGGCCGGAGAGACGGCTCAGAGGTTAAGAGCACTGGCTGCTGTAGCCAGATGTTGGTGTTGTCACGCCTTTAATCCCAGCACTCAGGAGATAGGTGGATCTCTGTGAGTTTGAGACCAGCCTGGTCTACTAAGCAAGTTCCAGGACAGCCTCCAAAACAATACAGAGAAACCCTGTCTTGAAAAACTAAGAAAAAAACAAACAAACAAAAAACAAAAACAAACAAAAAAAAAAAACAGCACTGGCTGCTCTTCCAGAGGTCCTGAGTTCAGTTCCCAGCACCCACACGGTGGCTCACAGCCATCTGTAATGAGATCTGGTGCCCTCTTCTGGTGGGCAGGCATACATGCATGCAGACAGAACACTATGTTTTAAAAGACAGTACCCACAAGCCATATGCATCGCAGGCTAAGCTATGAATGAGGTGGAGCACGTTTGTAGATGACAATGTCAGAAAGGTTAGATGCCCTCTACAGTGAGGTTAAGAAAATGATGCTAACATGGTTCTCATACTTTTTTTTAAAAAGGCCAGGAGTGGTGATCCCAACACTACCAATACTGTGGAGACGGAGGCAGGTGACTGACTCTTAGAGTTTGATGCCAGTCTGATCTACAGAGCCAGTTCTAGACTAGCTAGGGTAACATGGTCAGACCCTGTTTCAAACAGACAACTTTATTGCTGAACTGAAAGGCATCACCCTGTGTTTGCTTTTTGTACCCCAGTAACTTCTTGTGGGCAGCTCTGACCAGGATACATGGTGTTTCTCCCTTCTACAGAGTAGACACAGGGACGACTCTCAGGGCATTTATCATCCACTATAAGGAGACACACTGAACCCTTTCATCTCCAGAAGATCCTAGATGGAGGCTGCTAAAGGGACCCTCCCTGTGTGCACCATGTCACACCCACCTTGACCAGCTCCAGAACATCATTCTCTCTCTATCACCCCAGTCACCAGGTGGCGGTGCACACCTCTAACCGTCCCCCCCCCGAGCCAGAGGCAGGTGCATTTCTGTGAGTTCCAGGTCTACAGAGCGAGTTCCAGGGCAGGCTCCAAAGCTTACACAGAAAAACCCTCTCTCAAAAAACAAAACAAAAACAAAAATCACTCCAACCAGTGTACAAAAGACAGGTCAATTTCCTCTAACCTCAAAAGCTCCTCTCTCCACAGTGTTCTCTGGTAGATGCCGCCCTTTGACATATAAGGTATTTACATTGTGATTCACAACAGTGGCAAAATTACAGCTACGAAGTAGCAACAAAAACAATTTTATGGTCAGGAGCCACCACAACAGGACAAACTATATTAAAAGGACACACAGCATTAGTAAGGCTGAGAACCACTGGTAGGGGGCGATCACTGCATTCAATTCATCTCCTAAACAAATTTCACTTCCACCATTCCAACAAAACCACCTTCCTCTAGCCGGGCAGTGGTGGTGCGCTCTGGGGAGGCAGAGTTCTAGACCAGCCTGGTATACAGAGCAAGTTCCAGGAAGCCAGGGTCACACTCCCACTTTCCCGTTACTGAGCGTCTTTTAAATTATGTTTCTTTTGGGTTTGTTTTCTTCCTTTGTTGAGACAGTGTATCACTGGCCTGAAACTCAAAGCCCTCTCCAGAGCCTCTCACAGCTGATCGCAGGTTTCTGTCCATGGGATTACAGAATCAGGGGGTTGAGTGCTGTACCGCCAAGCCCCTCCCTCCAGCTTTCAACCACCAAAGCCTCAGCTAATGGCACTCCTCCTCCCGGCTTTCTTCTTCCCCTTGAACTTGCTGGAACCCTCTCTCAACGGTCCTCCACTGCCTTCCGACGGTCACACGTTTTTTTATTTATTTCTGTCTCCCCAGTGACCGTCAGCTCATTAGTGGCTGGGGCTCGTATGTCCTATGGAAGCACAACTGTGCAGGGCACACAGGTTTCTGCAAGCGTTGCATGCAGACATCTGAGAAAACTCGCACTGATTTTTTTTTTTACCGTCACCTGCCACGGTGCAGGTGAGGGTCCCGGAAAGTCTCTTCACACCGAACGCTGACTGTGGGTGAGGTCAGTTCACACACACACACACACACACACACACACACACACACACACACACACACACACACACACACCCATAAGCTAGTCAACCGGTCCCTCTGGGCAAGAGAAAGAGATGAGAGAACAAGGGGCCTTTTACACAGATCGCCCGCCCCGCTGCTCCTCTCCCTTCCTTCTCCCCTGCTCCAGGTCCAGCAGCAACGAGAAGTCAACACGAACGCGGGGACGGGGCTGGAGACGAGGGACAAGGTCTCTCAGAACCCTCGCCTCCTCCCCCACAAGGCCATCGGTGACACCCGGGCAGCAGAAACGGGCCGGATCCGCTGGAGAACTCGACACGGGACGTGCCGGGAGCAGCAGAGTGGCGCCGGGACCGTCGCGCCCGCACCGGCACCGCTGCGAACGTCTGTCGGCCGCCGGAGTGCGGGTCTCGAGGCCGCCCGCCCGGGCCGCCGCCTCGCAGCCAGCCGGGGCATGGTCCCCGACCGGCTCGGGTCCCCGCGCGGCGTCCCCGCCGCACTCACCTGCGCCCGCGTGTCCATCGTGGTCGGCACAGGACGGGATGCACAGCAAAGGGACCCCCGGGGGCCGGCGTCCTCTCTCCCGGCTCGCGCCACGCAGCCCGAGCGCCAAAGGGACCTGGAGCCAGCCGGGCCGCCCGCCACGCCCGCCACGCCCGCCACTTTTGAATTTCAACCGCCGCGCCGCGGACTCACCGCTCCGTCCGCAGAGGCCAATCCGCGCCGGCGACACAACCGCGAGCCAATCACAGCGCCCTCCGCCTCCGGGGCCACGCCCTCTCTGCTGTGACATTCCCCCTCTGTGTCGCCTCGGAACGAGACGACCGTTCCCTCGGATCCTACTTCCGTTTCCGGTTTTCCTCCTTTTTTTTCCCCCCCTTTAAACCCCGCCCTCTCCCCCCCCCACTTTGACGCGGAGCGCGCGGCACTTCCGCGCGGCTTCCGTAGGCCTCGGCTACGTCAGAAGTGCGCGTGCGTGGAGGAGCCGGGAGGGGGGATACGGGAGAGGAGGGCGGGTCCTCGGGGAGGGAAGGCAACGCGCAGGTGCAAAGGCTCCCGGAGCAGCGCCGGGGACGGGGCGAGCGCCACCTAGCGGAGTCTGCGGAAGGCAGGGCTCATCGCCTGCTCTCGGGACCCGAGCCGCTCCAAGCGAGGTCGCTCGTGGTCGGGTGTCTCAAGCTCCAAGTTCGGAAAAGTGGAAGCTGGCTGTGATGGCGTCAACCTGTCTCAAAAGAAAAAAAGCGGAGGTCTGGCGACATGACAACAGGTGGGACGTTCGCCTGGCATGCTGAGATCCCCCGAGTTCAATCGCCAGCAGAGATAAAAGAAGGGAGGGAGGGAAAAAAAAACATGAGAAGGCGAAAAATCAGACTACAAAACTCTTGCAGTGTGTTTCCAAATGCCATGCGATGTGGTCATGAAACTGGCCACAGGGCTGCGAGGATAACAAAATAGTAATCCCTGGAACCCATATAAAGTGGAAGGGGAGGACGGACTCTCCGAAAAGTTTCCTCTGACCTCCCTTCCTGCACTCGAAGATAGATAGATAGATAGATAGATAGATAGATAGATAGATAGATAGCACTCGAAGATAGATAGATAGATAGATAGATAGATAGGCAGACAGACAGACAGACAGACAGACAGATATTGTTTGTTTTGTCTGTTTTTTCGACACAGGGTTTCTCTGTGAAGCCCGGGCTGTCCTGGAACTCTATCTGTAGACCAGGCTGGCCTCACACGCATAGAGATCTACCTGCTTCCCGAATGCTGGGATCAAAAGGCGTGTGCTAGGGCTGGAGAGATGGCTCAGAGGTTAAGAGCGCTGGCTGCTCTTCCAGAGGACCAGAGTTCATTTCCCAGCTCCCACATGGTGACTCACAACCATCTGTAATGAGATCTGGCGCCCTCTTCTGGTATGTAGTCATCTATGCAGGCAGAACACTATATACCTAATGGTTTCTTTTGTTTTGTTTTGTTTTGTTTTTTGTTTTTTTCGAGACAGGGTTTCTCTGCGGCTTTGGAGGCTGTCCTGGAACTAGCTTGGTAGTCCAGGCTGGTCTCGAACTCACAGAGATCCGCCTGCCTCTGCCTCCCGAGTGCTGGGATTATAGGCGTGCACCACCACTGCCGGGCTCTGCTACACTTTTATAATGAAAAAAGCTTGTTTATGGCCTGTAGGTGGTGGCACAGCCTTTAAAAGAAACCATTAGAGCCGGGCGTTGGTGGCGCACGCCTTTAATCCCAGCACTCGGGAGGCAGAGGCAGAGGCAGAGGCAGGCGGATCTCTGTGAGTTCGAGGCCAGCCTGGTCTACCAAGCAAGTTCCAGGACAGCCTCCAAAGCCGCAGAGAAACCCTGTCTCGAAAACAAAACAAAACAAAAAAAAGCCTGGATGCCTGGGCACAAGGAAAGCTTCAGTTAGATGAGACTGGGGATTCCTGAAGCTGCACAAGGCTGAATTGTTCTTTTTTTCTTTTAAAGATTTGTTTATTTATTATGTATACAGTGTTCTGCCTGCATGTATGTCTGCACACCAGAAGAGGGCACCAGATCTCATTATAGATGGTTGTGAGCCCCCATGTGGTTGCTGGGAATTGAACTCAGGACCTCTGGAAGAGCAGCCAATGCTCTTAACCTCTGAGCCTTCTCTCCAGCCCCTAAACTCGTTTTTGTTTGTTTGTTTGTTTTGTTTTTGTTTCTGTTTTTCGAGACAGGGTTTCTCTGTGGCTTTGGAGGCTGTCCTGGAACTCGCTCTGTAGACCAGGCTGGCCTCAAACTCAAAGAGATCCACCTGCCTCTGCCTCCCGAGTGCTGGGATTAAAGGCGTGCGCCACCAATGCCCGGCCCTAAACTCATTCTTAAGTGTCCCTCAGTTTTCTTTCGACGGACCCTCATGAACCCACATTCAAGCCTTGACATCTGAGACATGAAAGACCAGAAGCTGTATAAATCGGAATGAGAGTCTTACTGTGATCCTCCACGGTGGGTGATCTCAATGACTTTGTTGGGGGGCCGAGGTCATCAGCTGCCACTCAGGGCAGCATCAGCCTTTGGCAGACAGACCCAGAAGGCCTGAGAGGTTTTTCTGTGAAGAAAGAACCTGAGAGAACTACAGAGTAAGGCAGTCAACCAATGCTGTCTTCAGTTTGGCCAGGGCCCTGCCGGCAGGAGAGTCGTGGGGGCAGCTCTTTGCCCCGTGGTCAGTGAAATCAGTTGCTGCCCATCTTTGGAAACTGCCTCAGCTGCGTGCGACCAGAGACTGGTATTTCGTCTATCCAGGGATACCTTTTCATTAAACAAAAGGCTATATTCAGCAGATTTCTCGGAGGTGTTTGAAGGCCACTGTCTAATCTATTAAGTATACCTGATTTTTTTTGTTTTGTTTTTTCGAGACAAGGTTTCTATGTGTAGCTTTGGGGCCTGTCCTGGCATTAGCTCTGTAGACCAGTCTGGCCTCGAACTCACAGAGATCCGCCTGCCTCTGCCTCCCATTGCTGGGATTAAAGACGTGCGCCACCACTGCCTGGCTCATATTTTTCATAAAGTTTGTTCATGCTTTTTGTCCTCATGTTTTTTTTTTTTCATTTTGGTTTTTTGTTTTTTCCTCTCAGGACAAAAATCACCATACAACTGGTGGTGGCCAGTTTCAAGCCAGCCTGGTCTATAGAGCAAGTTCCAGCACAGGCTCCAAAGCTACACAGAGAAACCCTATCTCAAACAACAACAATTAGCCAGGTGGTGGTGCACGCCTTTAGTCCCAGCACTCGGGAGGCAGAGGCAGGAGGATCTCTGTGAGTTCAAGACCAGCCTGCTCTACAAGAGTGAGTTCCAGGTCAGCCTCCAAAGCCACAGAGAAACCCTGTCTCTAAAAACCAAACAAAAACAAAAACAAAATCATCAAAAGTCCACCCTAATCTGAAACATTTTGGAAATTTACTTGGAGACTTGCTGTTGTCCCCTGAGTCTGAAAAGTAGAAACAGTAACAAGCAGAGGACTCAGTAGGACTTAGGACTGAGGAGTTTTATAGGATTGAGGAGTTTTATAGGATTGAGGAGTTTTATGGGCTCTGCCTTAGTTGGTTTATCCTATAGCAGTGAGCCCATAGTTACTGTTTACTCCAAGGCGAGCCCATAGGAACTTACCCTTTAAAAGACAACAAAGTCTGTTTTCCTAACCAACAGTGAAATCCAGGTTCCATACAAGCATGCTGTTCTACACTTTTAACATCAACCCTTCTATTACAACTTTTAAGCTATTTTGTTGTTGTTGTTGTTACAGATTTTTTTTTTTTTTTTTGGTTTTTCGAGACAGGGTTTCTCTGTTTTGTTTTGGAGGCTGTCCTGGAACTTGTTGTTACAGATTTTAACCGCACCCAGTGTGCTTACAAATTCTGAGATACAGAAACTATAAGCAGTGGTCTCACAAGTCTTGAGGTAAAGTTATACTTTAGCAAACGTTATAGAGATGTAAGAGAGGGTGTGCTTTACAGAGTTAAACCAAGGATGGCAGTGAGACCGGCAGCCCTGTTCTCCACCGGAAACAATTTGTTTTACCTGTTTTAAAGCACATAGTGTCTTCTCCTGGGCTGTTCTGTTTTGCTCTCCTCCCTGTCACAGAGTCAGGTGCTGCCTGATCCAGGAAAGGATTGTGGAGGAAACTTCTAAACAAGCATGCTTGCATCTGGAGAAAACAGGCCACAGCCCAACTCCAGAGCCAGCCTTTTTATAGAGCAGACAACATGAAGCAATTTTTAATATTATCTGTACTAAAAAGACATCTGAATTTTTGTAAGATTTGACTCCAGCGACTAGAGGGAGGGACTAGAGAAAGAAGGCTTGGAGACTTGAGAGTAGAGAGAGTTTAGAGATAAGATTTGGGGCTCATTTGTTTGTGCAGTGGTAGAACTCGTCACGGTCTATGAGAACCTGGAAATCAAGTGTGCTGCCTTTGGCCATTGCGCTATGCCGAGGCCAAGCCAACGGTGAGGCCTGAGAGAGATTTGAGTCTGAGAAAGGAAAGCCAGTAGGAGCCCATGGAGCTCAGGCTCCAGCAGGCAAGCAAGAGGGACAGAGCAAGCTCCAGAGCAAGCTGAGGGACAGGTGAGGAGGGAGCCAGGGGCAGAGCAAGGCGGAGATGGAGGCAACTTTAGGAAAGAGGGTTGCAGATGGGCAGGGAGAGCAGGAATGGAGGAAGAAGAGTGTGTGTGTGCGCGAGCGTGTGTGAGTGTGTGTGAGTGTGTGTGTGTGTGTGTGTGTGTGTGTGTGTGTGTGTGTGTGTAGCAAGAATTCCATTCCTGGGGACTGGAGAGATGGCTCAGTGGTTAAGAGCACTGGATGTTCTTCCAAAGGACCCATGTTCAATTCCCAGCAACCACATGGTGGCTCACAGCCATCTGTAGTGGGATCTTGTGCCTTCTTCTTTCATATTGTTGTTCATTCAGACAGAACACTCATATACATAAAATAAATAAATCTTTTTTTTTAAAAAAGGAGCCAGGAGCTCACGCCTATAATCCCAGCACTCGGGAGGCAGAGGCAGGCAGATCTCTGTGAGTTCGAGACCAGCCTGGTCTATAAGAGCTAGTTCCAGGACAGCCTCCAAAGTCATGGAGAAACCCTGTCTTAGAAAAAAAAAAAAGGAATTTCAATCCTGGGTGTCCCCAAG